TACGGCCCTCCTCTCCCGCCCGGGAAACACGCGAGAAGAGGCGGGCCCAGGGGTGCCACGTGTATCACGTGCGTCACGTGTGTTGCGTCTGCCTCGGGGAGAAACAAAGGGTTCCCCAAGGTAGTCTTCAGGGTTACAGGCCCCGGGGGGCGGGGCGCGGCTCTGCACTCGCTTGGGGGCGGGGGGGGGGGGTGGCGTGCCGGGCGCAAGGGACTCCGGCGTGATTAGCCGCCGCAGGGGCCGCGCTGACGGTGTCTCCCCTCCCCCACCGCAGGTGATCCGCACCGACACGTTCAAGCACCTGCGGCACCTGGAGATCCTGCAGCTGAGCAAGAACCTGGTGCGCAAGATCGAGGTGGGCGCCTTCAACGGGCTGCCCAGCCTCAACACGCTGGAGCTGTTCGACAACCGGCTCACGACGGTGCCCACGCAGGCCTTCGAGTACCTGTCCAAGCTTCGGGAGCTCTGGCTGCGCAACAACCCCATCGAGAGCATCCCCTCGTACGCCTTCAACCGCGTGCCGTCTCTGCGGCGCCTGGACCTGGGCGAGCTCAAGCGGCTGGAGTACATCTCGGAGGCGGCCTTCGAGGGCCTGGTCAACCTGCGCTACCTCAACCTGGGCATGTGCAACCTCAAGGACATCCCTAACCTGACGGCCCTGGTGCGCCTGGAGGAGCTGGAGCTGTCGGGCAACCGGCTGGACCTGATCCGCCCGGGCTCCTTCCAGGGCCTCACCAGCCTGCGCAAGCTGTGGCTCATGCACGCCCAGGTGGCCACCATCGAGCGCAACGCCTTCGACGACCTCAAGTCGCTGGAGGAGCTCAACCTGTCCCACAACAACCTGATGTCGCTGCCCCACGACCTCTTCACGCCCCTGCACCGCCTGGAGCGCGTCCACCTCAACCATAACCCCTGGCACTGCAACTGCGACGTGCTCTGGCTGAGCTGGTGGCTCAAGGAGACGGTGCCCAGCAACACGACGTGCTGCGCCCGCTGCCACGCGCCCGCCGGCCTCAAGGGCCGCTATATCGGCGAGCTGGACCAGTCGCACTTCACCTGCTACGCGCCGGTCATCGTGGAGCCGCCCACGGACCTGAACGTCACCGAGGGTATGGCGGCCGAGCTCAAGTGCCGCACGGGCACCTCCATGACCTCCGTCAACTGGCTGACGCCCAACGGCACCCTCATGACCCACGGCTCCTACCGCGTGCGCATCTCCGTCCTGCACGACGGCACGCTCAACTTCACCAACGTCACGGTGCAGGACACGGGCCAGTACACGTGCATGGTGACGAACTCGGCCGGCAACACCACCGCCTCCGCCACGCTCAACGTCTCGGCCGTGGACCCCGTGGCGGCCGGCGGTGTTGGCGGCGGGGGCGGCCCGGGCAGCCCGGGCGGCGGCGGGGGCGGCAGCGGCGGCTACACCTACTTCACCACCGTGACCGTGGAGACCCTGGAGACGCAGCCGGGAGAGGAGACCCTGCAGCCGCGGGGGACGGAGAAGGAGCCGCCGGGGCCCACGACGGACGGTGTCTGGGGCGGGGGCCGGCCCGGGGACGCCGCCGGCCCCGCCTCGTCGTCCACCACGGCACCCGCCCCGCGCTCCTCGCGACCCACGGAGAAGGCGTTCACGGTGCCCATCACGGACGTGACGGAGAACGCCCTCAAGGACCTGGACGACGTCATGAAGACCACCAAGATCATCATCGGCTGCTTCGTGGCCATCACGTTCATGGCCGCCGTGATGCTCGTGGCCTTCTACAAGCTGCGCAAGCAGCACCAGCTCCACAAGCACCACGGGCCCACGCGCACCGTGGAGATCATCAACGTGGAGGACGAGCTGCCTGCCGCCTCGGCCGTGTCCGTGGCCGCCGCCGCCGCCGTGGCCGGCGCGGGGGGCGTCGGCGGGGACAGCCACCTGGCCCTGCCCGCCCTGGAGCGCGACCACCTCAACCACCACCACTATGTGGCGGCCGCCTTCAAGGCGCACTACAGCGGCAACCCCAGCGGCGGGGGCTGCGGGGGCAAGGGCCCCCCAGGGCTCAACTCCATCCACGAACCTCTGCTCTTCAAGAGTGGCTCCAAGGAGAACGTGCAAGAGACGCAGATCTGAAGCCGCCAGGCGGGGTGGGGTGGGGTGGGGGGGACCACCCCGGGGCTCGGGCCACACCAGGACCCTCCCCGCAGCCCCGGCCCCCCGCGCTGGCGCCCGGACCTCGCAGGGAAGGTCGGGGAAGGAGGGGTCGCAGCCCCGCCTGCGTTCGGACCCCAGGGCGGCTCACACCCCCCGCGAGGACAGGGCGGGGCTCCGGGAACGGGGCCCCCGGCGGTTCTGGCCGCACCCCCCCACCCCAGGCGAAGGGAGGGGCTGCGGGATTCCGGAGAAGTGGCTGGAACCCTCCGCTTTTCCTCCTCGAGCTCTCCACCGACCCATCCCGGCCCTCCGCCTTCCAGGGGAGAGCGGAGCTTTTCGGGGGGTGTCCTTTCCCCTCATCCCCAACAACCTTCCTTTTACGGTTCATTTTTTGCAGTTTGACGCCTGTCCCCCCTCCCGCCCCTCCGCCCTCGAAACTGAAGAGACAGACGCGCGGTCAGAGCCTCCAGACACCCTGCCCTGCCCCCTTCACCCCCAGCCCTCACCTGGCCCACAGACTCTTTTGATACTGAAGGGAGGTTTGCGTCAACGACTACCTGCTCTGTAATTACTTTAAAAAAAAAAAACACGGAAAAAGTAAAAAAAAAAAAAAAATTCTTTTTGGGTCATGAAAACATGGAGGACAGAGAAAACAGTGAATGCGGACAGGGGTGCAATGAGAATGGAAAAGTCAAGTGTCACAGGCCCGCCCAGAAGGTCGCAGGTGTCAGCACCTCTGGGGGCTCTTAGGCCCCTCACCCTTGACTCCAGGCGCCCCAGACAGGGCTCAGGCACCCAGCACCACCCCCCCCCCCGGATGTTCCGAGGCCCTTGTCCCCACCCCACCCTCACTCATGCGGGGGCCAGGGTGGGGGGGCGCGGGTAGGGTGGTCCACAGGCTGGGGCTGGGCAACTCCTAGAATCAAGGTGCAGGCAGGGCCCTGCTCCCTCTGGAGCCTGTGGGGAAGATCCTTCCCTGCCTCCTCCTGCTCAGCTACCGTCCAGTCTCCCCATCCTTTTCCTTCCACCCACGCTCCATCTCTCTGTCCAAATTTCCTCTTTTTTATAAGGACACGGGGCATACGGAATTAGGGCCCACCCTACGCCAGCAGGGCCTCATCTTAATTCCATCATCTGCAAAGACCCTGTTTCCATATTAGGTCACATTCACGGGTCCTGGATGTCAGGACTTCAGCATATCTTTTTAGGGGAAACAGTTCAACTCAGAACAGAGCCAAAGCAGACGTGTCCATCCCCTCTGCAAACCCCCAAGCCACTGCCGGGAGCCAGAGAGGCCGAAAGGGGGAAGGCAGGCCGGGCCCAGGGAGCTGCTCTGCCTTCTGGCTTACACAGAGCCATGCGGGGACGGGAGCTGGAGGGGGCCATGCAGTAACTCAGGAGCTCAGGGTCTCACACACCGCCCTGGGAGGGAACAGGAGTCAGCGGGTGGGAGCGAACCCCAGGGGTCGGCCAGGCAACCCCGCCAGGGCTGCCGTCTCATTGCACCGAGGCCCGCAGAGGGTCCACTTGGGGCAGACGTGGCCCATGGACACACAAGGCTGGACCCTCTTCTTCCTCTCGGCCCAGCTGGGCTCCCACACTTGGCAGGCCCGGGTCCTGTGTGCTATGTGCCCCCTTTGGTGGCTGCGTGCGCCCACATCTCCTGTCTCCCCGACCTGGGACTCCTACTAAAGCACCTTCTTCCCTTAGGGGCCGGACAGCGCCCACCTCTGTGATGGCCGTCTGGGGTCTCTGCTCCTGCCTGTCGACTCTTGGAGCCCAGCGCCCTGTCACTCCCTTTCATGCTCTCTTTCTCTCCCGTCCTCTTTCAGTGCGATCCTGGTTGCCATGGCAATACTGCAGCGGGTACCAGGTGGTGGCTGGGGGCAGGGAGCCGCACTGCCGTTGCAGGTTGCAGCCTCCGCCATCTCCGAGGCCAGGCACCTGCAGGGCGCCTTGGCTAGGCCTCATTTTGGGGGACCTCAGGGCCTCCGCAGGCCTCGCGGACTTCTCCGTGGACAATGGGAGGTGGGGGATGGGGCGCGGGTGGGAGCAAGAACGTGGTATTGGGGGGCCTGGCGGTGTTGTGGCTGGGAGAGGAGTGGATGAAAGGTGAGAAGTCAAGGTGAACTAAGGAGACCAGGTTGGAGCCGGGCTGGGGGCGGGGCTGCAGGGCTGCAGGGAGCCAGACTCCAGCTCCTGCTGCCTGCAGGAGATGGGGCACCACCAGGCCAGGCCTCCCTGGGAACTTGGGGTGGGGAGGAGATGCAGGCCTGGCCCAGCTGGGGACAGAATGGCAGCCAGCCCAGAGAAGGCAGGGCGGGGTTGGAGGGCTGGAGGTCCAGGGAGAGGCCGGGAGACAGCGACAGGATGGAGGGAGAGAGTCGGGGACAGAGCCAAAGAAGGAAAAGATGGAGGAGGAATGTTGATAAGAAACACGGGTGCCGAGACATGGGGTTGGGGGGTGGGTTACAGGCCCGAGGGCGGGGACCAGAAACTCCGGAGCAAGGGACAGACTGGGAGCCCAGAGTCCCCAACATCCTCCCTTCTCCCTGGCTCCCATCCCTCTCTACCCCCACCCCAAGCAGGATGCAGTTTCCATGACAACTTGGCTGGCCAGAAAGGGGGGCTGGGGACTGCAGAGGAAATTTTCCACATCAGCAGGAAGGGAGGAGGGTAGAAAACAGAGAAGGAAGAGGCTGGGTATAGTGGGGGCCACGTGGGGTCCTGGAACCCCAAGTCGTTGTCTCCACTGCCCCAGGATCCTCACCCCCAACCCCCAACCCCAGCAAACCTACACCCTCTCCACTGGGCCACTGTGGGGAAGGGGGAAGGTTCTGGAGAGGATCAAGGGTCAAATGTCCAAAGATCAGCCACTGCCCAGTCCTCGAGGGGAGGGGGCAGCGAGCCGCTGACCAAGCTCAGGCCTCACACAGACCACCAGATTCAAGGGCATGGCTCTCGACCGGGTCCCGAGGAGGGTAGGAGTGGTGGGCTACGGCCGCCTTGGTGAGTCACTGACCCTCTGGGGCCTCTTCTGCAGGCCCCGTCCTGAACCCCCCAAAGCCCTTTGCCCTCCACAAACACACCTTCATGTATGTCTTCATCTGCACCTGGCTCTGCTTCTGTGTCTGCCTGAGCACCATCCACTTCCCACCATCGCCCCCTCCCTCTGGGTCCCTGCCACCCTCCTCCTGGGTGCCTGTCCCCTCCCTCTGGGTCTCTGTCCCCCTCCCTCTGGTCCCTAACCTCCTCCCTCTAGGTCTTTCCCCCTCCCTGTGGTCCCTGTCCCCCTCCCTCTGGGTCCCTGTCCCTCTCTCACTGAACCTCCCTCTCCCCAGGACAGTCCCTTGTTTCTCACCTGCTGACTCAGGGACCAGAACTGGGCCTAGAACTTGTTTTTGTCTGGAATCGTGACCCAGGGCGAATGGCAGGGAGTGTGCCCCCTTCCCTGCAGCTCCAGAACCTCGCTGCTCTTGGGGAGAGGTCAGTGATCTCACCATGAAAGAAAGACTCCCTGAAGCTCCTGTTCCGACCTCCCTTAGGCGCTGTGGCCTCTGGCAAGTCTCTTACCCTCTCTGGGCCAAATGTGAAACAGGACAAGCCATCCTGCTTCCCCTCTTAGGCCAGGGTGAAGAGTGACAGGCCTCTAGAGACTCTGAGGGAATCGGAGGAGGGGAAGTCCAATACCTCTCCGAGGCCCTCCCCCATCTCTCCCCTCTCCCAGGCACCCTGACCTTGTGGTGGAAGTGGCCCATCCAAAAATAATTCGGGAATCTGGAGCACAAATCCTGCGCTGTGCCAATCTCCTGGTGAGCCCTGCCCAGCCTGCCTCAGCTCCACCCCACCCTACAGTGGGGTCCGTCCCCTGACCTCAGACCCTCCCCACCTTCATCCACCCCAGGTGGGATCCCCCTCAGCCCTGGCTGACCAGGCCACAGAGCAGGAGCTCCTGGAGGCCTCGCACCGCTGGAACCACGCTGTGTTTGTGGCCCGGGGGGCCCTGTGGGGCACCGAGGACATCACCAGATTGGACGCAGCTGGGGGCCTCCAGGTGAGGGCCCGCTGGGCTCCCAGTCGAACCAGAGCCGGCCTACAGAGACCCCCGGTCCTGTCACCCTGGCTGTCACTTCCAGAGTCTCCGCGTCACCATGGCCACGCACCCCGATGGCTTCCGGCTAGAGGGACCGCTGGCTGCAGTACCCAGCACTGGGCGTCGCACTGTGCTCTATGAAGGCCCCATCCGTGGACTCTGCCCCTTTGCCCCCCGCAACTCCAACACCATGGCGGCTGCCGCACTGGCTGCCCCCAGCCTGGGCTTTGACGGCGTGGTTGGGGTGCTTGTGGCAGATCTCAGGTGAGCGAACGCTTGTGGGGGTTGGTGCTGGGGCCGGGCCAGCCAGACTGACCACCCTGCTTGCCCCAGCCTCACAGACATGCACGTGGTGGACGTGGAGCTGAGTGGACCCCCAGGCCCCACGGGGCGAAGGTTTGCTGTGCACACCCACAGAGAGAATCCTGCTGAGCCCGGCGCTGTCACGGGCTCTGCCACTGTTACCACCTTCTGGCGCAGCCTCCTGGGTGCGGCCCCTCTCCCCAAGCCCTGGGCCCCATGCTCTGCGGAGCTTGGGTCTCGGGCTCTGTCTGGCTCTGCAGTTCTGTTTCTGTCTCAGTTGACTGATCTTTATTTCTGTGTCTCCTTCACCTTCTACTCCACGTTTCTGAATCTTGATAGATCTCTGTCCAAGGCTCCTTTCCCTGAGTTTCTGTATTCTCCTCTCGCTGGGAGCCTATAACCTCTCTCACTGTGTCTCGGTCCCCCTCTGGGTCTCAGTCCTTCTCTGTCTTCCTCTACCCCCACCGTGGTCTGTCCCTCCCATCAGGCGTCTGTCTCTCATCTCTCGGACCCAGAGTTTCACTCCCTATATCTCCCCCGCAGGCTGCTGCCAGCTCCCCTCCAGGCCGGGGATCCATCTCTGCTGAGAAGCCGCCTCCTTCCCTAGCGGACACCTTCGTCTCATTTACGTCCCCCCACCACCGCCCTGGCCTCGGTTACCCCCGACCTCCCTGCTGTCTCAGTAAATATTGGAGGCTCTTCTCCCTGCATGGTCTGGTGTCTCTCGTCCCTTGCTTCCCTTCTGTGACGTCACGCTGCGACTTCACACCCGGCTTGGTGCCACCGCAGAGGAAGAGCACAGCACACGAGGGAGCAACGCTCCCGGAAGTTATCGCGAGAGCCTACCCACTACATTTCCCAGAATCCTCTGAGCACCAGGGGGCGTGGCCGCGCGCGAAGGCGGAGAGGGGCCGTGGGGGAGGGCCGCCATAGGGCATATTTCCGGGATTCACCGCAGCGGCGGAACTGTAGTTCCGAGTTCTCGGGGCGACAGTGGACTTCCGAGCCAAGCCGCCCGGAAGTTCCGTACGGAGCAGCGGGCCCTCGCGGGGGCTGCCGGAAGACGTAGTCCGGCACGCGGGGGCCGCCGGGAGCTGTGTGCTTCCGGCTTGGCCAGTCAGCGCCGTGCTGCCCGCTCCGCACTCGGAACCCACAGCCGCCGCCCAGGGGGATGCGGGAGCCCCTGGTCTCGGGGAGCAGAGAGGCAGGCGGGGTGAGGGGCGTTGCCAGGCAACGGGGGAGCGCCGCGGTTGGGGTACGGGTCAGAGAAAGGGCTCTGTTCCTTGGTGTCCGGGGAGGAGGCCCTGTTGCTGAGTTACAGGAGCTGAGAACCCTGTTGTTTGTGATAGGGGAGGGGAGTCTTCTGTTGCTAGGCGACCAGAGGAGACCCCGTTACCTAGAAACAGGGGAGGAGGATTTCTCTATTGCTAAGTAACCAGAGAGGCTTGTTACCTAGTTGGGGAGAGGGTCCTCTGTTGCTAGGTAACCAGAGAGGGAGCCTGTTACCTAGAGACAGGGGAGGGGGCGTTGCTAGGTGACCACCATAGGGACCCTTTCACTTAGGGATTGGGGGGGGTTCTCTGTTGCTAGGTGAGGAGAGCCTTTTCACTAGCAGTAGGGGATGGAGGTACCCCACTGCCAGGAGAGCGCCTGGGGAGCAGGCTCAGTGACCCAGTGTCCCCTCAGGCTGCCCTAAGCCCCCACCTCAATGGCAGTGCCCCCAGGGCCTGCTGGCAGGTTGGGCTTCCAGATCCCAAGCCGAGTACCTTCTTCCGTCGCCCCCAAGCAGGAGCCGAGGACGGCATGTCCCAGGCCCCAGGAGCACGGCCGGACGCGCCTTCTGTTTATCACGAACGGCAACGCCTGGAGCTGTGTGCCGTCCACGCCCTCAACAACGTCCTGCAGCAGCAGCTCTTTAGCCAGGAGGCTGCCGATGAGATCTGCAAGAGGTGACCGTCACCCAAGAGAAGCGGGGCTCGTGGGCAGAACCACCAACTGGGTCTCAGCGAGGCAGCGACAGAGCTGCCTCATCACCTGCCTGGGGAACCCTGGGACCGAGAGATGGAGATGCGGCCTCTCACACCTGCCCTTTGCCACAACCCCAGCCCCAACTCAGGCCTCATCTTCCCTTATCTGGACCCTCATCCCCACATCCCCTCCAGCCTCTCAGCTTCTCGGTTTTCTCCACCAGTCCACGCTCTGCACAGCCCCAGCGCTGAGCCTGCCCTCCACTGCTCACAGGCCTCCCGTGGCTCCCCAGCAGCCCTGGGAGAGGCCCCAGGTCCTAAATCCAAGGCCCTGCATGCTCTGGTCCCCGTCTTCCTCTTCAGCATCATGTCTCACTGCACCCCCAAACCACAGTTCGCCCCAGTCCCCGAGTGAGCCCTGCTGTGATGCTTCCGGGCCTTTGCATGAGCTGTTCTTCCTGTCTGGAACAGCTTCCTTCTCTCAGCAGCCTGGAATGTCACTCCTCGCTGTGCAAGATTTCAAACATCACTTCTTTATTCCTGCTCTCCCTTGTCTCCTCCTCTCTGGCCCCACAGCCCCGGCCCTAGCCCAAGCCCGTCATCTCCGGGATCCTTCCTCCTGTCAGTAACCATCCACATGATGCTACACCCAGAGATGACCGTGTCTTCCCCACTCTTGCTTACAGCCCTCTCCTGATGACCCCTGGCATCCTCAAGCAGAGTCCCAGCCCCTCAGACCGATTATTACAGAATTTATTCATCTCCTCTGGCATTCACAGCAGCGGTCCATCAACTCTTTTACACCGAGGCTATGCTGGAGACCCAGAGATGAGTCCAGTAGGAGCCCTCCCCTGAAGGAGGCCAGGCAGACAGATACACAGGAAAATAATACACAGACTTTTCCTCTCCAACCCCTTCCCCTCCCCTGCCCACCAAGGGCCCAGAGAAAGAACAAAGGTGCCACTGTTTGGAGAAGGCAGGATCCAGAGACAAGTGGTGGCAGGGTGGGCCCCCGGAGCTGGGGGATAGCTGCAGGAGAGAGGCTGGGAGGCAGGAGCACAGGACAGGTGGCTGGGGTGGAACTGAGGCTAGGAGGCCAGCTGAGGGGCTGAGACTTTATCCTGGGGTGACAGGGAACCAGGGAAGGCTGGGAGCAGGGGAAATGCAGGGTCAGTGTCAGGTGTGGAAAGAGCCCCTGAGATTGGAGAATGGAGGCCACATGAGGGTCCCAGGTGGTGGGAGGACAAGGCCTGAGCTGGGAAATTTGGCTCCAGGACAGAGCAGAGAGAGGTGGGGACAGAAGGATTCAGGCTTGGGGCGGATAAGCCATTGGGCTGAACAAAGGAAAGAGTCCAAAGGCTGGGTGATTCAAGGACTGGGCCTCTCCTGCTCTGTGGGGAGGGTGCAACCTTTTCAGGGGCCCCCAACTCAAGCTCTGACTATCCCCCAACCAGGTTGGCTCCAGACTCCCGGCTGAATCCCCATCGCAGCCTCCTGGGCACTGGCAACTATGACGTCAACGTGATCATGGCCGCCCTGCAAGGGCTGGGCCTGGCCACCGTGTGGTGGGACAGAAGGAGGTGGGACCCCAAGCACCATGTCATGTGTGCTAAGCCTGGGACAGTGGATACAGCGTGACAGCACCCATGTGGGACAAAGCAGGAGAGGGATGGGTGGACAGGAGGCGAGAAAGAAAGGGTAGATGGGTGGATGGTAGGCATGGCTGAATGATGGGTGGATGGTAGACTGATGATGGGTTGGGAGATGGTGGAAAGATGAGTGGGTGACTGGATGGACAACAGGATGGGCCGAGGGGTGGATGACGGAGAGACAGATGGTCATCTGGTGATGAAATGGACGGTAAATTGGTAGTTGGATGTGTTGAGTAGGAGGTGGTTGGCTGACGGGATGGGTGAGTGGTTGGGTGAATGAATAAAGGATGGATGATTGGTAGACAGTGAACAGGTAATTGGGTAGACAGTGGACAGTGAACAGGTGGTTGGGTAGTTAGATGGTTGGACAGACAGATGGATGGATTGGTCGAGTGGTTGAGGACTGGAGGATGGTGGGTAAGTTGCTGAGTTGGTGGCTGGCTGGTTGGTCAGCTGCATCAGTAGGTGGATGATGTTTGGGTGGATGACAGATGGGTAGTTGGTCAGGGGTGGTCACTAGATGGCTGGGAGGTTTGGGTGCACGCGTGATCGGGTGAGTGGAAAGAGACAAAGGTCGCGCTGAGGGAGGAGTGTCCTTGGGCAGGCTCGGAGGGCCACTGCTGCCTCACCAGCCGGGGTCCCACAAGCTCAGTACCCTTGGGCCAGCCAGTGAGCCCAGGACCCTGACGGCAGGGTCTGCACTCCTCCCACACAGGCCCCTGTCCCAGCTGGCCCTGCCCCAGGTGCTGGGACTAATCCTGAACCTGCCATCACCCATGTCTCTGGGGCTGCTGTCCCTGCCCCTGCGCCGGCGGCACTGGGTGGCCCTTCGCCAGGTGGACGGCGTCTACTACAACCTGGACTCCAAGCTGCGGGCGCCCGAGGTCCTGGGGGACGAGGACGGTGTCAGGTGAGGGCAAGGTGACTCTGGGGCTGGGGCAGGGCGCTAGGGACCCCCCCTCCCCTGGAGGCAACACCCAGGCTCCCGGGCCTTAGTCTCCTCATTTCTCTGCCCAGGGCCTTCCTGGCGGCCGCGCTGGCTCAGGGCCTATGCGAGGTGCTGCTGGTGGTGACCAAGGAGGTGGAGGAAAAGGGCTGCTGGCTGCAGACAGACTGACCCCGCAGAGGAGGGAACCAGGCCGCCCGGGCGGTCCCTGGGCGTCCACGGCTGGCCCCTGAGTGCCAGGGAAGGACTAGGCCCCGCTCCTCCTGGACCCCGTGGAGGCCCCAACCCCTTTCCCATACCTCTGCTCGACGCCGCCGCTGCCTCAATAAATCTGCTCGTTTGCTCCCAGCCTGGCCTGCATCTGCCTGGGGGGACCCTTTCCCTCCAGGGCTCCCGCGGAGCAGAGAGGCTGGTAGCCAGGCGGGCATTGTGGGGAGCCCGGGAGCCCAAATGCTCCCCCACCTTCCCGCTTCACCAGCTTGGGTGAGTCACCCACCTTTCTGGGCCGGAAACAGCACAAATCCCTGCTCTTGTGGGCGGGGGGAGAGACCAGGAGCCGATAGGCACAATCTAGAGTGTTCAGTGGGCTAAGTGCTGAGGAGAAGCAAGTTTCTTCCTGGAGTCTCAGTTCTTCTCCATCAGTGGCTCCAAGAGGGGGCCACACCGCTGTCCCCGTGTTCGGCTACCGGCAGAGGGGAACAAAGGTTGCTAACCCACTGACCGTAAGACAGGAAAACGACCCCGCGTTATCCGGGCGGGCCTGCAGCCCTGACGGCAGAGGAAGCAGGAGAGGCGAGGCCAAAAGAGACCTGGCGAAGGAAGCGGGTCAGAGATGCTACGTGGTGGACAGCTTTGGAGATGAGAAGGGGCCAGAGCGGGGAAGTGGAGGCAGCCCAGACCGGGGCCGGGGCCCCAGGAGGAACCAGCCCTGCCCACACCCTGACTCCAGCCCAGTGAGGCACATTAGACTTCCGGCCTCCGCAAGTGTGAGAGAAGAAACAGCCTTAGGAGCCGCTACAGCATGGGGGGATTCATTTAGGGTAGCGGAGTCCTTGGAGCCCAACTGGAAGAAGGGGAAGGAGGGAGCTGTGGGGGGTGCAGAGGAAAGGCGTTCGGGGCTGAGGGAGCAGCCAGCGCAAAGGCCCTGGGAAG